AAAAAAAGCTCAGTTTGGAGACAGAAATCAAAGCAGAAACTCAAATCGATAAAACAATCATGTCACAAGAGTGGCCAAAACTGTGATATCACTGAGACAATTTCTGTTTTCAGAGACAGATTGGAAAAGGGGTAAACCCTTGAGGCGGGGTCACCGACAATTTTGTCAAGTAGTACACCAAGAGACCTCCAAACCTATCATAAGTTTACCTACATTTACCCAAGTCTTAGATAAGGCAGCGAGGCATCTGGAGCTCTGTGTCACCAACGCATCGGCAAACACCCGAGCATCCAGAACAACATTGAACCGGTTCAAATAAGAACATTCTGCCTAAACGTTAATTGTATTATCGCCAAAGCCTCACAAAAACAAGGCAAAGACCAAATAAGAACCCAAAACTCCTTTAGACACCATGCATCTCGCCATCACCTCATTCACATTACAGTTACTCCGCACTCTGCCCATCCATAACACCTCCAGAGAACCACTCGGCCAGCGTACTAAATCGATCCTCGCTGTTCTCCAGATCCATCCTGAACAGGTCATGCTTGCCAGCCCGTTCCTTCTGACCCTCGCGCATCTTGCGGATCATGTCGTTCTCCGGTGCACATTTGGGACACTCCGCATCGTCGTCGTTGCCGCCGTTTCGAACGCAACGTTGGTGGAAACTGTGTTTGCAGAGGAAGTGGACGGCCGGTAGGTCAAGGCGCTGGCTGCAGTCTGAGCACCAAGTTGCTTGGAAAACGGCGGGTTTGGAACCTAGGTCTGCAAGCTCCACGCGTCGCTTTTCTGTATCGCCGCGGAGATTGTTGATGCGGTTGCGGTTCGTAGCAATTTCTTTGCGCTCTCTTGTGATTGTCTCGTGAAGGTATGGTTTGATCATGCCCATGGTAGCTACGCCACCGCCTGAAGATTGACCAACAAGTGTTTGGATGACCTGCAAAGGAGCCATGAGCCCATCTTTGTCGATCTTGTTTAGCACGTTGGCCAACTCGTCAGGGCCGGCTTCCTCCAGTACCCTTTGGTCAGAAGTGAGATATGCCAGCGCAGCTGGATACAACTGTGGTTCCTCAGGGCCGTACTTTCTGAGGGCCTTCATGGCACCTCGTGTGTCCTTAGCTGATGTGTAAGATCTGAAAATGTCAAAACGCAGTCCTGCCTGTTCCTTGACAAGGATAGTTCCGTCTTGGAAATTTGCAAGATGCGAGAGAAGTAGAACATTCGAGCTTTCCATAGGCACATGATCACCCTGGATGAGCTTCTTCGCCTTGGCCTCCCAATCCTCTTTATGATCCTGTCCCTTCTTCTCGCTTGCCTTGTACAAGTACATCTCAAAGAGAGTGGTGTAAAGATCTGTTCGGTCACTCGACTTGAGCTCCTTTTCTTCGAGACACGCTTCGAGGAAGACAATAAACTCATCAGGGTGGTCGATGAACGATGAGAATGCGGTTCTTGGTGGAGGAGGGGTATACTTTGGTGCAGGTATATCGTCGTTGTCCACGATAATGTTCCCATCACTAACCACGGCCCTTGTGTTTCCGACTGTGCCAGGAGATGCGACGGAAGATGTATTCATATAAGGTAAGGGCAGCAGGTTGGACAAATTCTGAACAGCGCTGGCCGCCCCTGCCGCAAAGCCACCACTGGCGGGTGTATCAATCTCGTTTTGTACCGTCAAAGTGCGCCGAGGTCGGTAATTTCCCGTATAGTAGTCCACGAATAACTTGGTTGCATCTTGAGGACAATTCTCTATGAGTACTCGGGCGTATTTCTGTAAACAAGGGTATGCCTGGACATGTTAGCCATCGTTCACACCAGAAGCGCTGCCACGTACGATATCAGGATCTTGACGCCAAACATAGTCGAGCGCTTCGACATAGTTCTTGGAGTCCTCTATCAAGATATCCACCACAAGATCGGTCTCGCCGTGCTTTTTAGCAAGATATGCAGCCTGCTCGTAGTATCCGCCTTGACGGCACATGGCAATTGCTGTATCAAGATCAAATTTGAGGTCGCCAGGAGACTTGATGAACTTTTCAAGCTTATTGATGTCTTTCAGCTTTGCATAACAGTTGAGCAGCAGGGTTGTGTGGTCCGCAGTCGCTTTTCGATGATCGTGGAGTTGTTCAAGATATTGAATTAGGTTGTGAATGCGTTGCGTATCAAGGTACTAGGAATATTAGCCTTGCTCATGCGTAGAAAAAAGCTCCTCACCTTGCGAATGACTTGTGATGGCTCAGTTGTATCAATTGCGCGGATATACTGAACCATGGCGCCGTCATAGTCGGCTTTCTGATACAAGTGATCGCCAAAGCGGCGGTAAATAAGGCTTTGCTGCTCATTGTCCATTCCAGATTTTTGCGCCAGTTCGATAGCCAGAGGAAACATGTTCCTCTGATACAACATCTCCAGTCGTTGCTGCAGACTTTTCTCATGATACCGGTAAACCTGGTGAAGTCAATAAGAGACATAGAAACCGGCAGACTCAACTTACCTTGCCATCTTGGAGGACTGTGAAGAAATCACCCCAGATGTCAACAAAATGTCCCACAGGTGACATCAACGTCTCTGTATGGCCGATAACTCGAAGATCCATATCCAGCAACACAAAGGACGACGCATTGAATAGAGAATTAGTAGTAGTATTGCCAAAACGTCGCCTCATTGCCTCAGAATCTTTCGCAGTGCTGCTCGCGGGTGGACACGCAAGCGCAACATATTCATTGTAAACATCAATCTTGCTCTTTGGCGATTCGTACGCCTTGGGCGGCCCTCGACCGTCCAGTGTGTATGTGTAGATAGCATCGTCGCGCGCAACAATGACGCCGTCCGTATTTGGGTCACGCGTCATGCAACCCACTGCACATCCGGCATCTTCGATGGTCTTGGGTGGTAATCCATGACCCTTTTTGGATAAACCGAGCTTCAATATTCGCGAGGTCGTGGAAACGAACAGAGTGGTGAGCTTTTGTGCCGCATCCCATGCGAGTTCAACACCGGTGATGGGCTCTTCTGATTCGAAAACGATTCGTTGCTTCGTGCCGAGATCGTGGACCAGTTCACCTCGGATTACGGTAACTGCGCCGTTAGTGAATCCCACAGCGATTTGTGTAAGATCGTCCGTAGCCGTAAACGCAGATATCTTGAATCTGTCAGTTTCCAACGTCGTATCGGGCTCCCAACAAGACTCACGGGAAATTGCCGTCGGTTATTGCTGATCATGACCGTGCTCAGACATGTCGGTGTGTTGGTCTTCTTAACAAGCTTGTCGAGCGCCCACACCTTGAGAACAGGCTCACTGCTCATATCTTCCTATCAACACCGTCAGTCCATCAACTCGTTATCTAAGCTTCGAAAGCCCGTACCGCAACTGTCAACAAGAGACTTGTCCCTTCGACCTGGCGCATATGCGTGATGCTCCCAGCCTCGTAAGCCTGGAAGCGCTTGACAATCTTCCATGACTTGTTTATTATGCTAACGTATCCTTCGAAAGATCCAAGGAAGAGACTATCGGAGCCTGCGCAAACGCTTGAGATCTCGTTGCCCTCGAAGAGCTGTCGGGTTTCGTCGTCGGCGATGTTTATTTGGACGACGTCGAAGAAGTCAAACGACTTCCACTGCGATTCATTGTCAGCATGGTAAGTCTCGAAGTGCACATGAATGGTAAAACCCTATGCGCGCACGAAAACAGGGCGGTACTTACTGAGATGGCCATCTTGAAGCATTCGGGAATGTCTTGAATTGGAGAAGATGAGCCGCGGCGCGATGACGAAGGTGGGATGCTGAAGCTGGGGAGCTACAGGAGCTTGCCTAGCGCCACAGTGGCTGCTACTCCAGGGGCACCCGACCCATCATTGTAGAACTGCATGCCTTGGTAATCGACTTAAACCTCAAGTAGATCTTAATCAAACAGAAAGTATTAATCTATTTAAGCCTAAAATAATTCTCTTAGAATAGAGATCGGACTGTTGCTATAAACTACCCTGTCCTTTGGGGAGGAAACAAAACTCGGGACCTTGATCCTCAATGATAAAAATACCCAATAACTTGTTATAAGTTTAAGATATCTCTTACTAAGTTTAGGATACTTTTACTAAGTTTAGGATACCTTTGCCAAGTTTAGGATATCTTCTGCTGAGTTTATTTTGACATAGGATGTGATCAACTCCAAGAGTCTGCTAATATCCCGCTGGACGACCCCATTAGAATAACAACCGGGCTCCTTTATCTCCATAAATGCAGAGTCAAATGGCACACCAATCAGCAAATGTCCATGTTGACCTCAATCCAGTCTCGTGCCCCTTTCTATTACCCCAGACTACTGATCCGTAGAGCCTTTGCCTAATTTTCGTCGCTTCATATGGGGCTTATCTCCGTAGTGGGAAACAATAGAATGCGCCTCCTTCAAATGACTTTCCATCCCAAGTCCATTCTCTCGCATAGTCACATTTTTTGCCGGAACATGGGCAGAGCTCAACACCTTCTTGATCTTTGATCTGAATCTGGATGTGATGCTACAAATCCCAGAAGGTGCAGTATGTAAAAGGCAGTTGGTGTGGTTGGATGGTATCGTTATGAAAACAGAGGGTACAGATCTGGGGCACCAGTGTCCGACCAGCAGAGACGTCGGTATACCCAATAGTTGACACAATCGAAAGGGCTTCGTTCAGGTGTCTTCCCGCGTGCGTTCTCCATTCAGTGGGTTCAATGAGCCAGTCTATGACGAGCATCATGTATAGTGTGAGGTTCAGAACTGTGGGCATGGAGCCAAAGGTGCCCAGATACTCGGGTTCGTATTATTTGGATACAATGAACGAAGCATCTTTCGAGCTAGCAGAAAGCTTAGGTTTAGCTTCCGTCGTGAGGCCTTCCTGGATGGCTAAATTGTTTGGTATGAAAGAGCTCATTTGCCTTTGAAGGTCCCAGGGGTTGGACTCGGTTGGATTCTCGCTCCATTGATCACAGCAGGCAGTTGGTATTTCCAATGATAGTGTTGACCTTTAAAGCAGTTGCCAATCTTCCAACAAGAGAGCGTGCCAAGCATCGAGACCTTGGCGAGTAAGAATACATTGGCCTTGATGGAGGATGCTAAAATAAATTTAGCAAAAGGTATCCTAAGTTTAGACTAAACTTATACCAAGTTACCTAAATCTTTTCATCCTTTAGGATAAAGGTTCCGGGACTTCTTTCCTCTCCTAGCAAGAGTACTCTTTGAGAAGAACGTGATCCTGGTCATGGCTATCAGGAGCAAAAAGTTCAACCTGGGCGTCAACTTCAGGGTGCTCATCTTCCATGAACTCAATGAACCACTTCTTGGAGAGTTTCAGCGTATAGAGAGTGGTATGGGCAAGGGGTTTTTGGGCCACCTTCATATTCTGCTCCTTCTGTTTCTCGAGTTCTTCGGATGTCAGACTGTCTTGGGCTGCAGCGAAACGTGCTCGCCGTTTCTCTCGATTGCTGAGTCGGGGCATGGTGACTCAGGAGTTTCAAGGATAACATGAGTGGATTGATTCAAAGTAGCAGAAGTCATTGACCTAGAGGTCCCAGGGTTAGAAAACTGAGAGTCCTTTCAATATGAATGTAAAGACTTACCAGAAATCAAGGGAAAACGCCTCTCTGCTGTTCTCGATGCGTAGAGCGGATAGATAGCTTTGCCTATCGTCTCAAATCGGTCCAAGTTGCATACTGAATCTGGCGCAATCAATGCGAATGATGATGAGAAAGATGGGAAACGATAGAGACTTTTCGAGCAGGGAAGTGCAGCAAGATGATATGCCAGCTATACCCGGAAGGTACAGTATTTGTCATGATGATTTCAACTCGAGGGGAGTAGGAATTCCGACCTTGAGGAAGTCATCGATGTCATTCGCTTATTTTGGATTGAATTTAGTCATCAAGGACGCCGTTCGTTGCTTGTTCTTTCCGCAGAGCTCGAATCTGTGCGGCTGACTTGATGTCGTGTAGCTCCACGAGCATTGGATGGGGTGATATGCGTATTGCCGGGCCTTGACAAGCAAACTCCAAGAGTCCCCATTCTTAGCGTTCCTGCTGACATAGTACTGGTGCATGCTTTCTTCCGATTTCTGAAAATCTGGGTCGATGTCTCTGAATTTCCAAGGGACGGGGATCCTGTGAACGCGTGGTAGTGGTAGGAGCTGATGGTCGGCAGGCCGACGAACTGTGACAGCATTTAATAATTGGATAAGTCTTATCATGAAACGGCCTTTAGGCACTTCATTTGTCTGGTGCGGTCCATCGTTTGCGAATAGCCCGCATGGTGTCCACGGGGAGAGAAAGCAGCGCAAAGCTGTCAAGCCAGGTGTTGTCGATCGGTGTCCCAGACATCATGATGCAGTTTTCAAAAAACCCGGAGGTTGAATATCGCTCTGTAAGTTCGGCTGCGCGTGTTTTTGATGGCATGGACCTTCTGGTAGCCCGAATATACCAGAGAGAAGGCAAAGGCTGCGTCGAGCTGGATATTCACTGCGTTCAATTGATCGAACGAGCGGCTCTGAGCAGAGAGTAATATCTTTGTATGCGACCAAGTTCTGCTCACACTTGGTGATATGATGTGACGATGACCTTGTATTTGTAGAGCTGTGTCGGGGACACCTGTTCACCAGCGAGCAGGAGAGCTGGGAGAAAATCCTGCAAGACGGAATTAGATCCTAGCATATAAGAAATATGATGGCAACAACACTTACGTCTTTGAGGTACTTCTGGATTTCAGACATCCACTGGCGACAACAAGACAGGGGGGCAACGACCACCCATGAACTTATCTAATATAAGACTTGAGTGCTATGATGGAAAGTGCCGAGAGAGTCTTGCCGAGACCATGAAGGTCTCCGAGAATCATGCCTTTGAATATGAATTTCATGGACCACAGAGCCTTTGAGACTGCATATTGTTGGTGGGTTTTGAGAGCGATCTCAGGGCTGAGACCAGGAATTCTGTCGAGTGGTTTGAGGCGATGTTTGGCTAATTATCTTGATGGTGTTGGCGTAATACTTTGCAATGCCAATATGTAAAGCACCCAGCCACCTAACGACTGCGTTCTGGCAAACACCAGGGTCAGAGTCGCTCTCCGAAAAGTCACTTTTCGGAGTCGAGGTCCAGATTAAATTCGCCGTCGGAGTCTTCTGTCGAGTCGCCATCGCCGTCGTCCCCTTCATCCTCATCTTCGTAATCGAGGTTCGCTTCCTCTCGAGATGTTTTTCTACGCGCTTGCGATCCGCTGCGTCTGGATTCTCAAGCCATCCACTTCCTCCCACCAGTGCATCGGCGAGATCTTTCATTGATGGGAATGCTTTTGTCGCTTGATTCTCCATTTCTGCAGTATGTGCTTTCTGTTTGGCACTCAGGCCGGCAAAAGAGGTTGCCATCTTGCCAAATAGGAGACGTCGATGTTAATATTGATTAGCTGTAGATAAATATTAGTTCAAGTGAAATTCGTAAGTCAAGGCTGATATTATTAATGCGATGCGACATACCGATAGAGTTATTTCATATAGACTGTGTATCGGAGAACTGGAGTTCGTAGTGGGTGAAGTGAAATCGTGATGGAGGAGAGAAGTGGTGATGGAGGAGAAAAGGAAATGAGGTAGAGATAGAGATAGAGAGAGAATGAAGTTTTTTCTGGGAGCGATCCGGCGGGCAGTGATTCACTGGCATTCAATTAAATCCGCAGTTTTTGCTGCATTTTCCAACAGTTCAGTGGCATCATCCTAAGTTTAGGGTAATAGTTGTAAAATATCCTTCTCTACCTACATCTCCAGAATATCACATATCCCTCCCTTCTACCTTCTCATCCCTAAAACAGCACGCTCGCACAGCCGGAAATATGTGCTCTATTTACCACTCACCTTAAAGAAGACCGATCATTTGCTTCACAGAGGAATCGTAAGTTATCTCCAACATTCTAAGCGTCGTTCAGGGGGAAAAGGGGCCATAGGGCACCATCTTAGCTGATCATGGTCTCTCACACGACGACCAAACCTCGAAATCTTTCTAGCAGAGATAGAAGTCGTCGAGTGTTACTTGAGCTGGGAAAAGTCTTTCGACCGGCTTCCAACAGTAAACTTGCCGGTCAGTGGCAGTCAGATTCACCGAATAACACCTGGTCCCATCAGACTCTGTCACACGCCATCCAATCCCACACGCGCTACTCGATGGCAACGGAGAACAACGAGACCGCGCTACCTCCCATTCCGCAGGAGTGTCTGGATCGATGGGGTGCGAAGGGGAAGGCAAAGGAGATCTTCGAACCTCCCCATGGTGTCTTGCGGAAGAAGTGGGAAAAGCATGTCGTCCGAGGACTTAGAGAAAGAACAAGCCCACCGACATGAAAAGTTCCTAGCCAAACAGGTATGCTATACTATTGTAGCTCTTAGTCGGGTAAATCTCTAACGTACCAATAGGAGACCAAAGTCGAAAAGTACTGGAAGTAAAACAGAGTTTTATGTATCGGTCTGATGACCTATATGCAGCGTGTCGGTTTGTACAAAGTCCGTCCGGACTCCATCACGGAGGAAATGCTGGATGAGGATGACAACATCCCGATGAATGAAGAAGAAGACAGTGGCGAAGACAATGATCATCACCTCAGCACCGACGATCCTACCATCCACATCCATGGTGGTGAGGCTATCATGAAGGCCGATGTGGATGAAGAGGACCCCTTAAACGTCGCCGACGACGATGAAGCTAACCTTGAGTAAATGGCTCGAACCGATGTCAAGGAGGGCGGCATATGTCGTCGGGAGAGGGGGAGAAGTAGTAGCACCCAGGAGATCTCTCAGAATGGAGATCAGACCCCTGCAAAGCAATACCCGGCTCTTCAGGGCGTGCTAAATCCGGATCGGAAAGATGATGGTTTAAATTGTCACGTAAAGCTAGTCAAAAGCTCGCTCGTCTGGCGCTCATCATAACAATTGTCAGGGTATCATGTATGGTATATTAAGGGACAACTTTCCCTCGACTGCGTGTAGTAAGTAAGCACCGAACCAGAATTCTATATAAGTCAAGCAAAACACCAAATACGCTCTCATTCCTGCCAAACCTGCCAGACCCAACCAACCCAGCACCATAAAGCAAAACAAAGCATCAATCATTCGCAATAAAAATCAACACGCTCATGCCTCCTTCGTTCTAGAAGCCACAGGGGTATCTTCTTTCTCATTCTCGCTCTTCTCGTTGAATACCTCTCGTGGCGTAATTAGAGGACTGCTCAGACCACCAATGCTGCCGCTCACGCTCTCAGCTCGTCCATGACCAAGCAATCCACTTCGAACACTTGCAGCGTCCCCTTGTTTGGCGTAGTAGCTGTTTCGATCACCAGAAATCGCAGGCCCAACACCTGTTGCAGAGTAAATGCTCGTGCGTTCTGTTGCCATTCGAGGATTGCCGTGAATGCCGGGAGTAGTGGGCATACCCATCGGATCGATGTTTGCACTCAGAACACTAAGTGGTAAACTTTCACGGCTGCCACCCCAAAGTGACGAAGGTGCAAGAGCACGCACAGATGCATCGGTATCGAGAGAACGCCTTCGTCGTCGCTTACTTGATGACGCCAAAGTCAGGATAGATGCGTTGTCTGTGAGTAGATTGTTGGCGGTTGCAGACGTGTAAGTCGTTGGGTTGCCAGTTGGCGCCAAATGAGGCGGAATGGCCGATGCTGGTGCTCCTGTAGTGGGGAAGGGTTGGGTGAATTGAATGGACTGCGTGTTGCCATGGTGCTGTGAAGCATGATTCTGAGCTTGCCCTGCCCCATTAGGCGCCATTGACTGTATCGTAGTCAAGGTCGTCGTCAGAGACCTCACAGATGGTGCTGGACTCGAAAATGTACTGTCTCCCCCCCTCCTAGATTCAACTCCTCCACCGACGGTACGGCTCGTTCCAGCGACAGAACTGGCCCTATGGCTGGGTGCCATGAGTGAATGGGAGGCCTCATGATCTGTCAACACCGTACCGGCCACACTTCCACGCCCGATCGTTGGCGGTCCCTGGTCTTCTCGAGATGTCCGAGTGGACCGGTCCACACTGGTATTGCTTGTACCCGTCTGTGTGGTGGTGAAAGTGCATGCACTCGTTCCGTTGGTTACACCATTGCCGACCTGTCCAGATTCCGGGTAGGGGTTGTTCTTCTTGTGGCTGCGTTTCTTGTGCCTCTTTTGACGTTCACCATCGGATGACTTGAAGTTGGTGAGTTTCTTAACCCATGTCGAAAACGGTCTCCTGCGTTGACCTTGACGGTCTGGAATGTTAGCATCAGGCATTGTATTGTGAGCCTATCGCAGAGTGGCGATATCGCGTGATGCTAAATCTCATAAACATGAACAATGCTTCAACACTCACCATGCTCTGGAGGTATCGTGTCGGTCGTCGCCATCAAATTGAGAAGAAGTCGTTGAATTGAGTCGAAACGTTAGGTCGAAGCTACCAGAACAGTCGTTGGGTAGCGAGCGGAGGCGGGGAGACAATGAACAAAGTAGAGAGAAGAGAGGCTCGCTCGGGGTAGGAAAGAAACGAAGATTGATGCGTCAATCGTGGATGAAAGACAGAACAACGAAAGGCGAAAACTAAGGGATGAAGCTAGAAGAGACGTCGTCAGCAGATCAAAGTGTGTGGCATGGCATGTAACAGTACGGATACAAAGGCTGAAAGCGGCGAAGCATGATGGTACGAAGGTCGGGATCGGGATCACGTGATGGATCTATTGCAAGACGAGACACGGACCAGAACACGACGATCCTTCCTATTCGTTCACGGCCTATCATTGACTCAAATGTAGGCACCTCCCAACGTGTCAAGTCCCCTTTATCCCTTATGTCTCCCGCAGGTACCCGTTGAATCTCCAGTGGCTTCGAGCCTGGACTGAGCTGCCTATAAGCTCAAGGCACATCTTTTCTTGGCGCCACCTCCACCTCGCGGACCCTGGATTCGGGGACGGTTACCCACTGTGCCTTAATTAGATCGCCCTAAACTTAGGTGCCCCCTAGCTAGGTAGGTACAGCTCACCTCAGCTTCAGCTCGCTTCGACGTCATTTCCCAACTTGAACTTTGAAACTTTCAACACCACAACCAAAGACCAACTCGACACAAACAAGCATGATCTGCTGTAGAGTATGACCATCAGACAACTTCCTCAGGATGTCGTCGACAAGATTAAATCATCGGTCAATATTATTTCTCTCAACGGCGTTGTCTGCGGTCTTATTACAAACTCCTTAGACGCTGGCGCCTCCAAGATCAACATCTCGATCGACTACAGCAGGGGAAATTGTACCGTTGAAGATAACGGGTCCGGAATTCCACCCGAAGAATTTAAAGATGGCGGGGGTCTCGGGAAGCTCCACCGTGGGTGAAACGATATTACTTACGTGAAGCTATTTGTACTTACGCCTTCGCAGATACATCCAAGTTCCCTTCTAGGTCTTCTGTTCATGGGAAGCATGGTGATTTCTTAGCATCCCTTGCTACCTTTTCCCTTCTGACCATTACATCTCGCCACCAAAGGCATATCTCACACAATTCTATCTCATTTCACAATTCTCGAATACTGGCTAGACATTTGCCTTCGCCCCCTGAATCACGGCTTGTCAACTTTGATCATGGCACTCGCACGACTGTTCGAGATCTCTTTGGCAATATGCCAGTAAGGGTCAAGCAGAGAGTTACGTTTGCTGAAAGGTCTGCTCTTGACAAGGAATGGTCGAGGTTGGTTCGAGCCGTCGTGGCCCTTCTCCTTGCTTGGCCATTCGGTGTTTCCGTTTCGCTCAAGAACACAGGAACCCAGCGCGAATTACGGTTTCGGTCAGCAGACAAAGCAGACATCATTTCTAGAGCCTCTCGACTTCTCACACAAGCTGGCCTTGCCGATTCAGACGATGCAGATACCTGGGTGCCCATATCAGCATCATGTGGGCCGATTTCCGTCAAAGGCGCTATCTCCACGAATCCCATTGCAACACGGCGCTCTCAGTTTGTCAGCCTTGGGATTCAGCCTGTCAGCAACGAGTTTGGCACGGATGTTCTTTATGAAGAAATCAACAAGACATTTGGAAACTCTAGCTTTGGTGTGATTGACGGTGACGAAGACCACAACGGTAACTCGCCGAAGTTGGAAGAGTTTACAGGAAGAGATTTAAAGAGTAGGAAAGGCATCGAGAGATGGCCCATGTTTTATCTCAAAATCAGCACTACAGGGTCGGAGGGCCTCGGCAACCCCGATCGACTTGACAGTCAAGGCCAGACGCTATCTGCAGTCATTGATCTTTTGAAGGCGACGTGTTACGGATTTCTCAAAAAGCATCATTTTCGTCCACAAAAAGTTCGATTAGCCCCCGAGGAATCGTTGTTCTCAACAGCAAGAACGCTGAGCCGGTTGAAAAAGCCTAAGAAGCAACCAGCCTCATCATCGAATAGCTCGAGAGCTAGTTCCGCCACCCCTGTGTCCAGATCTGGTTCACTTGGAGCACGAGCAGACAGCCCTTTTGAGGGATGGCACCGGGTCAAAGTTGGGAGAGCCACGCCACTCAGCGCTACCTCAAAAGCTGCGGATGTTCGTACAAAGATGCGAGAAGAGTCGCCGCTGGGCCGTCTTGTTGGTGAGGGCGGAAAACTGTTGCGCAAGCCGTTTGATGAGCCATTCCCTGAACCAGAAGATGAGAAAACAGGCTTGTCTGCAAACAGTGGTATGATGTTGGACGCATGTACTATTGACGACACAACAGGTGGTGGTGACACAAGCAGTAGTGTTACCTGTCAAGGTGCACAGAAGCGAGACAAGCATCCTAGCAAATGGCTCCAGAGTGTTATCAGCTCATGGGAGAATCCCATTTTTCACCCTGCAGAAACATTGGTGCCGTGTATCGATAGCTCAGCACAAGATCAGTTGCATACGTGTGGACATGGAGGCGTTCATGTTGGCTTCGAAACACGCTCCATGAGCCTCAGTGGGCGAATCTCACGTCACGCGCTTGCTCGCGCTACTGTGATAGAACAGGTCGACCGCAAATTCATACTCGTGAAACTCCCCCTTGAGCGTGCAGTATCTGGGACCTTGGCGCACGAGAAGCAGAGTTCTGCGTTGGTCATGCTCGATCAACACGCAGTCGACGAGCGATGTCAACTTGAGGACCTCATGGCGAGCTATTTCACCCACGACCCATTGACAAACCAAACTTCACCAGTCATAGAACCTCTCAACCGACCCGTAATCTTCGAAGTCTCAAAAGAAGAATGGGCTCTTCTGGAACAATATCGCGATTACTTTGCTGCTTGGGGCATCACATACCAAACACCCATCTCCTCACAAAACAAAATCATAGTTACGGGTCTCCCTCCAAGCATCATCGAGCGGTGCAGATTGGAACCCCGACTTCTGATCGAACTTTTACGAACAGAAGTTTGGCGAAGTGTGGATAGTAGTGTTCCACTTGTGCGACCATCAACCACAACCACAACACCTGACAAGCCGTTGATATCACGTTTCAACGGGTGTCCAAGGGGCATTCTGGAACTGCTACACTCCAGAGCCTGTCGAAGTACGTTTGTTGTCTATCGTTTGCCCCTTCTTTACTGACTTTGTGTACTAGGTGCAATCATGTTCAACGATGTTTTGTCGGTGAATCAATGTGAGGATCTCATCGATCGTCTGTCGCGTTGCGCATTTCCCTTTCAGTGCGCGCATGGTCGGCCCAGTATGGCGCCCTTGATTGATCTTGGAAACGGGGGCAAGTTTGGCGGTTGGCAAGAATCAAAACGACAGAAGGCGATTTCATGGAAGAGCTGGCTAGAGGAGTCCTGATGGGTTATGTGCATTTCTCGATACCTGTGTTACATAGAGCTTGTTTTTACATTTCAGCATAAGTATAGACCTTTATGCATCCAAAGCAACATTTCATTGAACCGTTTATGAAGCAAATATGCAAGCAACTAGGGATATCTTTCTAGGTTTACAGGCATTTGACAAAACTCGGACAAAGATCCCAGTGATGAAAACAGCAGTCATCTCTGTCGTCGACGCCTTAATAGCAAGCCACCATAACCAGCGCTATGCTGAAATCCGCTCTCCAACGCCGTAATATACATCCAACGCCTCATGTGCAGCAAAGGCCTGGCTACCTTCGTATGACCCGTTGTAAAGAGAAAGGGTATGATTTGTGAAATTTAGGTCGTGGCTCATTTCGTTGACTCGCGGCTCTTATGCGATATCGAATGTAAATCAGAAATAGTGAGTTACTCAAAAGTATGAGTATAAGTGGTGAGTGTTTAGGCCGCCCCGGCTTCCTGCGACTCATCAGTTTGTGGATTTGCGGCTGCTTCGGCTAAATGGCGATCAACGGCTTCGAGCTGTCGCTGCTTCGCTTCCTCTTCGGTCTCCTTGATCCAAATCTTGTTGTCATGATCCCAACGGTGTCTGTAAACTGTGTTAGCAAATCAAGGTTTCAGGGGACGCCCCGTCAACGGTAAGACGGTGAAACAGTTATGGTGGCAACATACCCTGCCCAACTCTCGGTGACTAAGCTCTTTGTATCATACTCGTCAACCAAGATCTTATTGAAGTTGAATGGAACACGAGCTTTGACGCCCTCGAACTCGGTGATACGCATGGGCCACAAGTCCTGGCTCTTATACCGATGCTTGTTTTTACAGCTCCATACACCTGGGCGATCAAGCTCGCGCTCACGGAGGCCAGTAATATCAACGTACATGCCATTCTGCATGTCAATCCAACGGGCATCGATAATGTTTCTTCCGTCTGAGCGGTCGATATCAACGTGGTGGGGGTTGATATCTAGGAGGTATCTCTTCGAGATAAACTTCCCCGAGGCAGTTTCTGTATAGTTCCAGCTGTGCTCAGTGCGGTTGAGGTTGTCCCCGATCCATTGAAGGGTATTGTTTGACACTTGAACGTCAAGATCGTAGTCCCAAGGCATGATCTGCCCGTTCCACCACCAACCAAGGAGAGTTCCATGAGCAATCCATGTTTCCACGCCGTAACTATTCATATGGAACAAATAGCTTCGAATTAGATCTCGAAGGACGAGACGGTGTTCTTCATACGAGACCTTTGATTCGAAATAACGGTTGTCATAATGACCAAGCTCGATATTTCGACCGGCTTCGACGAAGTATTTCGGTGTCTTTTCGTCTGCACGTTTGGCAATCGACGACGAAGCTTCGGCCTCTCGAGTTTCGTGGAATAGTGGGGGAAATGCGAGAGCGGCGGTTGTTGAAGAGAAGGAAGCAAAGCTCCAGAGGAGCAGCGACTTTACTGAACGCATGGTTGCTGCCGTAGGGTCGGATTATGCTAATGGTAGGAAGGAAGACGGAGGAGAGGTTGGCAGTCGAATGAAACGTATGCGGAGGCGATGCGCTTGATTTGTAGAGGGAGGAATGTCATGCAACGGGAGGTGGGCGGATCGGATCGTCACAAAGTTGAAATCCTCGATAAGAAAAGTAAGGGAGAGGAGGTAGCGATACTTTTTGATCCAAGAGAAATAAAGGAGAAAGTGCCGAGAGAAAGAGAGGGATACAAATGAGGTATCACAGACAATGTCAACAACACATGATCGTTATTAGGAGAGAAGAGAAGAGGAGGCCCAGAGATAAGAGAATGTGAAGAAGAGACGAGACGGTGATGAGGGTCTCTTTCCTTGAAATGAATGACGGAAGATGTGGGTTCCTTATCCCAGCGGAAGGAACAACCCGAGCAGGGGAAGAGAATAAGAAAGACGCAAGTGCAGGCGCAAGTGCAAGGAAGACCGGCAGGTGGGCGGCGCCGCGACAGTTTCCAGGGGGCGCGGGGCACGCGCCTCCTTGCCTAGAGCGGGATTGCATTGCCCTAGCTGATTGAGTGTAAGAAAATGTATCAGTAACAGTGTGACAGTGACAGACATCCCGTCCAATTGTAAGACACGAGTATCATGTTCATTAATCCGGGCCATATCAGATCTGAAATCATCATGCGATACTCGAGGCTTCGGGCTTCATCGACTGTTAAAGTTTATCTCCCCCCAACGCCTTCAGTGTCATTTCCATTCCTCTCATCAAAATTAGAGCCTCAATTAAACGCCCAAGACTCGACTCTATCCGTTTTGGACAAGATGTACGTCAGCTGCACGGCAACCAGCATCCGAGTACCGCCAAACTGTGTGTATTCGTCGCACGTAACGACACAAAGACATCTTGGCTGTGTAATAATGCGCCTACGCCGAGAAATGCCAATGTTTACACCGAATGCTCGCAGCGACTAGGAATACGCGGACTCTGGGAGAGTGGACATTGTGTCGGTTGCGCTAGGCCCCGCACAGGAAAGAAGTCGTGTGCTGTTGATCATCATGATGGGCTTTGCCAAGCGTCAGCGAAATGAGGCCAAGACGTGCTACGGAGTAAATCCAACTGTAGAATCAAGTTTCCAAACCAACTCGACAATGCATGGATGCAGGCGTTGATAGAGGCTTTGTGTTGAAACGGAAACACGGCATTTATTCTTTGCGACTAATAAACGAAAATGCTTCGAGACTGCAGCCACAGTTTTAAAGATAGACTGACCATCAGCCCTTCACTTAAACTGCGGACCGAGCGAGACTTTATCGGTGGCTCCATCTGGCATGGTCAAGATCTTGGATGCGTCGTCATCATCTCTCCGATCCGGATTTAGCACGCCCCGAAGTGCCGGGTATTACAGTGCATGGCAAGGGTCTGAACTCCATTCTGAGAGAATTCTTTTTAGACTTGACATTCAAAAAACTGGACCACAATTGAACTGGCCTACCATGACACTCCAGAGTTGAATGCTTTCCATTTAATTAAGATTTACTCAAGGTTTGAGTCTATTACTAAGACATGCAACCTTATGTTAGCAGATCCCTACGACACTCCAACGACACAACACACGGCAAGCAAAAAGAGGCCAAAACACCAAAAAGTGATATCACGAGTAGTTCTCGTGAGGCGACTCTCCCGCCGGGAATTGAACCCGGGTCTCAAGCGTGACAAGCTTGCATACTGACCACTATACTACGGAAGACGAAACAGGCTAAAGCCTGCTGTAGCGGGTTTGTTGCAACAATGCTGCGCAACGAGATATATATCGGAAATGTTCGAGTGCAATGCTTTTCAACCTACACTGAATAGGATGAAAGTACAATAGAAGTTTCTGCAAGACGACCACAGGTAGAAGAAACCTATTTGACTCCATTTCTCCACTGCTTCTGTTGTGATGAGAGCAGAGTTTCCGGCTGAAAGTAACACAAACGCAAAGAACGTATTCGCCGATATAGTATGCTTACTATTCCTGCTGCCTGATGTCAAGGTTTAGACTCAAAACCTGGATATCATGACAGCCATATATAAAGAGCTGTCTCCCCAAACCACCGCCAAGACCCAAACCAATCGATCGCTCCCTGTCACTTCCACTCCGTCTGATAGATATCATCCCCTAAAAAAGGCGTTGCCCCACCCCCTGTCTGAAGTTCTAAACTCATCGTAGTCGGCAGCGAGGGAGTCGGAAGTGAAAGAGTCGGCGGCGAAAGATCGAAACCTAAAAACCATCTTCCTTCAAAGTTGACATTGCTAAAATACTCCTCAACAGACAGAATAGGGGTTGCAGGAGGGCTAATTTGTTTGCGGTCGTTGAGGTGTAAGACCTTCGAAAATTTGTGTGTTGAATGAGGGCCCTTCTTCATTGTAAGGGCGAATGCCACGGATATGAGACTTTGGGTACCATTTCTGTAGTGCGCATGCTGTGAAACTTGACGTGTTTGATATGACTTGAAAGATGTCCAAGAGAATGACAAGTCCCTAGCACACTTTCTCATATCGTTCTCCTTTCAACTCTTTTTCCGCTGCTTGAGTGATGTCACGGCAAAAGATGGCCTTTTTGCCGGAGTTGACGTACTTCAGGGCTTCTCCCCATTTATCTTTATCCTCGAGCGGGTCTGCGGAGGCCCAGGTCGTCCATTCGTTCACGTAGGTATTATACGCTCTGATCCCTTCAGCATCTACTCTCTCGCAAAGGGGCCATCCAGTTGGGGGCTCGACGGGCTCGACAGACGGCTGAGGCTGTGAATTTTCCATTATTGATTGCTGAATTAACAAGATGTGCCGGGTTGAGATTTGGATACTGGGGAAGTGTGTTGAGAGATGGAAAAACAAGGATGATGGAAACCTCAGGGACCTGAAAAGAGGATGCCAAAATAAACTTAGGAAAGAGCCCCCTAAGCTTAGGCTATATTCTGCTAAATTAGGTAGGTAATTTTATGGCTTAGGATCAAGCAGGTGCACTTCCTTCCCTGAAACATCAACGTGGTTTGTGAACTGGTTGTTTTCCTCGCTAGAGGATCCCATACGTGACGATGTTCCTACCCTCACTACAACAGGTGATAACCTGCTCTTCTTCCGCAGTAAAGTGGTCAGTACTTGTGACGCTTGAGACCCGGGCTCAATTCCCGGCGGGAGAGATCCAGCTATCTGCGATACACAGATTGTCTTTTTGGTATTGGTGGCATACTTGATTGACCTCGTTCTTCCCTGTTTTGCATTATAGGGCAACGATAGGCAAGCAATGTTTTGATTTCGAGTCTAGCTAAAGGTTGTGTCTTTGACAAAGGTGCTAAAATAAACTTAGTAAAGAATCTCCTAAACTTGGGCTAAAATTACCTAAACATTGTGATTATTTAGGCTTGAGGTCCTGAGTCTTGTGCAGGTCTTCTGCTTGGGGTGCGTCGGATAGGAGTTGGATCCTGGGCGTTGACGGTCGTAAAGGAGGGAACATCTTCATTATAACGAGGCCGGTCCATGATATCGGAATTTGGGTACCAGTGCTGCAGTTGGTTCAATGTACGGTTCCCCTGTCGCTCAGTGGCTGTCGTCAGATTCGCCTAAAACAAGCTGGCGAGAATACAATATCCCCAGCACACTTTCTCACGCCCGCCTCCGTTGTTCTTAGCCCTCAAAGTAACGACTAACGCGAAATAGCGTGCTTGCCTGACGGGGAGGAGTTTCAATCGATCGAGTAGGGCAATCCAGTTTTCCTCATTTTCTGCCGGGTCTTCTTTGGCCCAGGCATTCCACTGGCGCACCAAGGCGTTGTATCGCTCAACTGTTTTGGGATCATCATTCCGGGGGCACCTCATCCACCTATCATTGGGGGGGTCGAGGGCTTGGTTATTTGTACTGTTGTTTATACGAGGATTCATTGTGTAGCCCAAAAGTTGCTGATATGGAGACTGGAGAAGTGTATTGGAGCTGAAATGATGATGGTGAAAGAAGAATAGCTTTTACTACGTACCTAGGTAAGGTATAGTAGGTAAGCCAGGTGGGTTAAGGATCCTTCCTCAGGCGACATCACCTCAGACATTGATATATGGAAGGTAACAAGATGAACTCAGCAAAGGATATCAAAAATTCAGTAAAAGATGTGGTAAACTTATCCTAAGTTACCCAAGTCATTTTATCATTTAGGGTCGAGTTCCTAAATCTTCTTTCTTTACCCAGGGGATGCAGTCAGTAGGAGACATCTCGTGCGCAGGAACCTGTTGGCGATAGGTACCTAGGTAGGTACCTAGTAACAGAAACCAGACATAGGGTACCTACGCCATGCCAGAGGGAAAGAAGATTCGAGGAAGCCTCGTTGCTGGGTACGTCAGCTGTCGGCCAAGGGAAGTTGGTAAGAAGAAACGTGGATCAAAAAATGCAAGTTGAAGAATCATGTTCATTCTTGAGATAAGATAATGATGACTCGCTAATATCCAAAATGACCTGGTAAGTACCTTATCCATTCAAAAGACCCATCGCTAATACCCAATCGTAGCATGCTTATATCCAAAATCCATACCATCCATATCACAGCTTAGAATCGCCACCTGTGGCCAGGGTGCTTCCAGTCCAAGTTGGCAATCTCCTCGGGTGAGAGGCCTGCAAGCTCCTGCTCGACGTTCTTCTTGTCGCGTCGGTTGTTGTCCCACTTCATCCAGAAGTAGCCGGAAATGCTGAGGATGAAGATCATGCTACCAGTGGCACAGTTGAGGCCATTGCCGATAGGGAAGTTGGGGGCGTCCTTGACGAGGTAGGACCAAGTTGCGATGAGACCACCGATATTGCCAAACATGACCTGTTAAAGTGTTAGAGAAGATTGAATGTGGTTGATGGGAGAGAAACTTACGTTCATGCCGATGGCACTGCTTCGTGCGGTGTCACTGACGACGTTGGCGCTGATGTGGGCGTTGGTCATGGTACCAAGAACCATACAGGTACTAGCAATCAGGAAACAAGCACCATA